CGGAGGACGCCGACCCTGTGAGATCTAACGGGTCTTTGGGAGGTAATTGGCAGCAGGCCATATTGGAGGCGGGGGGGGGGAGGTGGCTAGCTGTGGCAACATTCCAAGCACGGTCCATTTGGTAATTTTTATTTCTTAAGGTCATTAACTGGCTTTGGGGTCCTTGCCTTTTTCCCCCGACAAACCTAAGGAGGGCTGGGGGGGGGGGGCTTGGAGGACGTAGGGTCTCTTTCAGGAGCTGTTAACTCTTAGAGCTAGATCCTTTGAAAAGAGTGCTTCCCCTGGGCTTAGGCTGAGACCTGCCTCTGAGCCCCCTTGTGAAGCCCCTTTAAAGTCTCCGGGCCTCTGGTTGTTTCTGACCAAAACCTTCCTTTTCTCTCTGCACAAGACCCCTCCACCACCAGCCGATCGCTTCGGACAGAGCGGGGCCATGGAAGGCCTGGGCACTATGGGAGGAAGCACGCCGGGATTCAACCGGGGGGCTCCCGGGGGAGATTTCGGCCCTAACAAGCGTCGCCGGTACTAAGAGGAAAGGGTCCCATGCCTGGCTCTCCTCTCAAGAAGACCCCCTAGCTCCTTCTTGGGCCCCCAGGGGTTTGGCCAAGGCATCTGGTAACGTTTCTAAACGGTGCAGCTGATACCGGGAGGGTTGCATTCCTGCAAGCACGCAATGTGAACATGGATCCCAGGAGGCTTCAGTAGCTGTGTAGTGTATATGGGCCGAGCTAGGACCCCTGGCCCTTTTCCTTCCCGTCCCCCAAGCCCCTCACCACCGGCTCTCCTCGGAGGCCACCAGCTGTCCCCCAGGCCTCGGAAATGCCCTTCTGAGCACTGGGGCAAGGCCTGTGGTTCTGTACGTGGCCCCAGCCACAAATGGCAGATCATGTAGGGAGGCGGGGGAGGGGGGGAATAGTTTTTTTAAAAACTTGTAGCTTTTTATTTTTTTCCTCCGGACCATTTTTTTTTCTTTCCGTAGTTTTCTGGGGCAGCCGAGAGGGCTCGATAGTGGTGATGGTTCTGGGATGAAATTATTCAGTGTTGTACCATTCTTTTCTCTCTTTTTTTTTTATTGGTAGAAAAGTACAATCTATTGGACATAGTAAAACACGAAAAAGTTTCCTGTTTAAAAATAAAAAAAACTCAGCTGAAACAATTGTTTGTATAACCCTAACTTTACCCGTCTTGTGTAGAAGTAAATGTGTGAACCTGAGCTGTAATCGTCTACTAACAGGTTGAGTTTGTCTCCAGATTGTTACAGGAATGCATTATTATTAAAAAGGGATTTTAAGACTTTTTCACCTTGTGTCCCATCTGTCGTGTCTCCTGGGGTTCTGATGACTAGATGGAAAATCCAGGCAGGCTGTTCCTCCTGACAAAGGGGGGGGGGGGGCTCAGCCTCTTCCTGCTGCCGGGAAGTGGGATCGGCCATTCCTTGAGCTGTGCACCTCCCGATCCCCAGGGTATCTTTGCCCAAGGGGGGGGGCGGCTGGGAATTCTTCTGGGAGTTGCTGGTCTAACACATTGGGGAAACCGCTTTAACGGCGCAGCAGTCGTGCGAGCCAAGAGGTCACGGATAGAGTTGGGTAGCTCAGGGTTGCTTGCTTTCTGGGGAAACAGCCGTGACGTCTGTGGAGCTCCCTATAAACTGGGGGAGCTGAAGGAAAGATGGGGGGCAGTCAAGGCATGGAAGAAGAGGCAGGCTCAGCCCTCCCCTCCTTGGACAAAGGATGGGTCGGGGATCTCCTGCCCTTTCGGGGGATACGTGGGGGCCTCGCTGGGCAAAATAAATCACTTTTTTCTTCCTCTGCATGGTTGCCATGTTTCTGCTGCCCTTCCTGTTTGTCATGTGGATGAAGGGGCTGGGGGCTGCATCAGGCAAGGGGAAGCAAGTAGCCCCACATCTGAGCAGGAGAGGCAGCCGGGGAGGAGCTCCTGTTCTTGGCTGGCAGCTGAGCCTCAGGCAGAGGGGAGTCCCGTTTCCCCCCTGCCCGCCCCTCCCTTGTGATGCGGAGCGGTGGAGCAGCTGCTGTCCTTTTCTGGGCTGGCTCAGGCCCCCTTTGCATCCCCTGCGACTAAAGATAGCTGAGTCTCCTGGCCCCGCAGCCGCCTGGCCGGAAAGGCTCCCTCCCAGCCCAGGGCGATGGCCTTGCTGTGCTACAGGAAAGGCTGCGGGCAGAGATTCGACCCCGAGAAGAACAGCCAGGGTAGGGGGGCAGGGACGGTGGCCGGGCACAGGAGCGGAGGCTGCTGGATGGAGGGCTTTGCCTGGGGAGGAGGGGATCACACGTTGGGGGTGGGGGAGTATGCATATGTTGGCGGGAGCTTCCACTGGTGCTGATGTCGTGAAAGGAGGGTGGTGGTCAGAGGGAGCAATTCCCCGTGCGGGGGCTCCAGAAGGGGAAGGAGCTGCGGCCTTGCTGACCAACTTGGCTGGAAGGGTGGTATATTGTGGGAACTGCAGCCCCACAATTGGGAGGGGGCCCACAGCAGGGCTTTCCCTCCCCCCCTCTCTCTGCCTGCTGGGACTTGATCAGGAGTGCCAGTCTTGGAGAAGAGAAGAGCCAGAGGACTCGTTGGCCTCTCCTCCCAAGAACAGTCTGGAAATGGGGCAGGAGGGCAGGGGGACGGGGACGAGGGGGGGCAAACGAAGCCGCTTGCTGGAAGAAAACCTCCCCCCCTCCCTCCCTCTCTCAGATGCCTGCCTCCACCACCCGGGCTTCCCCATCTTCCACGATGCCTTGAAGGTGAGGTGTCCACCTGCCCAGGGCATTTGGGGGCTGAACTGCCTTCCCCTGCAGTTGGCCACGGATGGAACGGCAGCCATGGGGCAGGGAGGGTCCCGGAGGACGAGGGCCATTGAACAGCTCGGTGTCCCCATAGAGAGGACGATCTGCCATGCTCTCCCCCTCCCTCCATGTCAAGGCACCAGTCCTGCCCTTATTGCTCCTCCCCTCCCCGGTAGGAAGGCAGTGTGCAGATAGGACAGCAACACCTTTGCGGCCAGCCTTGCCCCCACACCATCCCGGTCAACAAGTGAGGGCGTGGCCTGGTTGCTCTTCACAGCATGTTTGAGGGGCTGCCGGGCTTGGAGGAGTGGGCGCTCACTCCGCATCCTTCTCCTAGGGCTGGTCTTGCTGCAAGAAACGGACGACCGACTTCTCCGAATTCCTCTCCATAAAGGTACAGGATGCTTAGGGACCGCGGGGTGCCGGCTGCCCGTCCTGTCAGCGCATCTGCCCCCTTGCAGAGGGCCAGCCCAGCTCTGACTCCCCCCTAGCTTTTGCTGCACAGGCCTGGTTGCCTTTTTCAGCCGTTCTGTTTCCCAAACATCACCATCTTACCCATCTGGGAAAGGGGGGTTGGTGGCGAGGGAGGGAGGGTGACTGCAGGGCAGAGCGGGAGGGTCCTGTCGCCATCCAAACCCAGGGCTCAACTAGGGGGCCACAGTCCTGAAAAGGCTGGCAGCGCATTCAGGGACTCGGCAGGACGAAGGCGGCTTTGCAACTTTAATAAAATTTGTATGCCGCCCACTCCCTAGAGACTCACAACAAAAGCAAAAACATAGAATATTAAAAGTACAATTATTTAAAATAAAATCATCCATTCAATCATGTGGGGCTGGATTTTAATCAACACCCCAGGCCTGCCGGAACAGCCAGGTCTTGGTCACTTTACGGAAGGCCGGGAGAGTGGTAAGGGTCCGGATCTCTGCGGGTAGCTCGTTCCATAAGGCCGGCACAGCTACAGAGAAGGACCTCCCCCGGGGGGGGCCGCCAGCTGGCATTGTCCGGTCGACGGCACCCGGAGGAGGCCCAACCTGTGTGATCTTATTGGTCATTGGGAGGTAAATGGCAGGAGGCTGTCTCTCAGGTCCAATACCATGTA